TTTATCCTCCCAAACGAGTCTGGTACTAATTCACCGACCCCGGTGGGATGGAAGGCTTGGTTGGCCTGGGCGGGCATCAAGCCGGGATTTGGACCCTTGACCGTGCGTGTGATCGTAGATATGAAGGGAATTAGGATGAAGGGTAAGAACGAGAGCAAGAAGAGTCTACAATATAATTTTATTACTCATAACACTTGATATTTACCATGGAGTAGCGTCATTTCACAGCAAGCGGGACTGATTGTGAATAAGAAATGTCATCGTTTTATGTTTTTTGACAATTAGAAAATGTTACTTTTCATAAGTTGATAGAGTAGTTGCAGATAGCCGCTAAATACGGAATTGTGATTATCTCATCAATTTTGGAAAGAGATGAAGACAAGGACGATGTACTGTGGAATGCAGCTGTCGTCATTTCACATACTGGCAAGGTGATTGGCAAAAGCCGAAAGAATCACATTCCAAGAATCGGAGACTTTTCAGAGGTGGGAGCAATCGTTGAGAATGATTTTTTTTCATCCTGACTTCATAACTTTCAGTCTACCTACTACATGGAATCTACACTAGGACATCCAGTATTCGAAACAGCTTTTGGTATGTGCTTTTTTTGTATAGCTTTGAAATAAGTTGAAATGGGGCAGAGCATGAATTTTTCTGCGCTAGGAAGTGGTCATGTAGGTCGATATGCCCACTCTGAACCAGCTGCAGCATCTCACTTCCTCTGAAATACTACCCACTCACCAACCCCAAAAGGAAATCATCAAGACGGGCTCACACGAGACGACGGGAAAGTTCATGAACAAGAAATTCTATGAACTCTTTACAAAACTAACTGACCCCTTCACCCTATGTCAAATACAGCCAGCCCCATAAAGGCACACCTTAAGATGACTTTGAGGTACATTTTCAGTCGAAAGGGCGAAGACAGCGAGAAATTCTGTGGAACTCGCAAAATCTAATGATTCTCACAATTGGAAGAAGTGAAAATAGGGGATTGTACGAGACTACCCTGATGGAAAAGGAATGGGGTTGCAGGACGTTACCCTTATAGCAATGGAGTAGAAGGGGTGTTCAGACAAGATTTCAGTCGCAGCAATTTGTAGTGAGCTGGTTGCAAGAAGCCAAAGGTGTCCATAGTTGCCTTGCACCGGCGCCATGGATAACGATTAGATTGAAGTTCCAACATACGTGCTCTGTTGTGATTTTTGCAACCCCTACAATGCCATGAGAATTTGTCGGCGCCTGTCCGAAGCCGATTTTTGAGCTGTTGTTGCTCCCTATACAGACCGTTGTTCCAACCGGCAGCATCTAGGTGGCACACTTGAAGGCAAGAGGTCTTATTTAAAAATTCGAAAAAGGTTTTCATCGTGAACTTTGCCTCTAACGAATATGAGAATATAACCCCTATGTATAGGAGTGGGACATGCTTGACACTTTCTCGACATACCAAGGATTACAATTACAGGTAAAGTCGCTATCAATGTTTGCTATGGTCGCCATCACCCTCAGAACTGGATGATGTACGCTCTGAACGGGGCTGAGATTATCTTCAATCCTTGTGCAGAGGTCGTCGAGAATGAGAGGTACTCTCTTTCTGTGAAGTTTATACGTTCTGCTAACATTCTACCAAATTAACCCTGTGAAGGTGCTGGATTGGTGAACAGGTCTTGCGTAAATAATTTTTCAAAAACCTAAGCATTCTGCCGCTTGCGAAAATTTTCCAGGAGCTGTCCAAGTAACGTAAATAAGGAGCTGTCTTTCGAATGCAGTCAACTGAAACAACCCGCCTTCCAATTCTTTACTAATGGCTAAATTCGTTCTTTCTGTTCTAGCGAGCCAATGTGGGCATTTGAAGCTCGTAGTGCAGCAATTGCCAACCACTGCTTCACAGTGCCCATCAATAGAGTGGGAAAGGAATCGTTTCCAAACGAATTCACTTCAGGAGATGCTCGTCCAGGTTGGTTAGTTCAACAAGGTGTTCAAGTAAAGACGAAGCTTAGAAGCCACAAATGGCCATAAAATTTAATGTGACTTTCACATTTTTGATGTACATTGAAGACACTTTGAATGTCTAGTCGAAAATATCCAGAATTGGAAGGCTCAACAACATTGCTCCCAGTCCATCACAGAACTTGGCGAATATTTTAAAACCATTTCCGTCAGACTAAAGCAGCACCACTTCGTCAAGTGGAAACCATCGGGAAATAGCCGAAAAATTGGGATTTTTCCTCAAGATGGTCATGCTGAGTTTTCGGCTGTCCTACACATGTCAGCAGCTATTTGAGTATAAGTGTATGCAGAAGAACCCATGTAGCTTCCCAGGGCTCAGTTATAAAGGAGAGAACGAGATTCTCACTATATGTAGGTATTCCTTTGTCCCGGTCCCTTTCTAATAACTGATAACTAAGAGAAGAGTCAGAGGATTTTCTTTGTTTCCCAAATTATCATTGTTAAGTTTTGAAAAAGGGTGATTTCATCAGATCATGTTGAAGACATCCAAAGATTTTTGAAAGATAAAATTTTTAGTCAGAGATTTGAAATTGTAGTCCTGTACAAGGAAATGGTTCTTCTGTTGTCTAAAATAAAGCTCCTAGACGTGATTCTGCACAGCCCATGGCACATTGGGTTTCGAAGAAAGCATTAAAATGTCCGTTATGCTGAAAATTTATGATATTTAGCTCATAAAGAAATCGGGATGTTCTACGGCAGCGCCTACGTAGCAGCTCCTGATGGTAGTCGGACTCCGGTCAGTTTTATGCCAGTTTTATTTTGTATGTTCTCATTCTCATGGGAATGGAAGCAATTTGAAAGCTTTTCAAAGGGAAAACTTTTAGGGACTTTCGCGGACAAGAGACGGTGTTCTCATAGCTGAGATCGATTTGAACCTTTGCCGGCAAGCAAAGGATAGCTTATGCTTCAGGGTAAGAAGCCGGTACTTGGTAAATAGCTTGGAATAGAAAATAAACTCAAATATACATAGATATAAGAGACCATTGAAAATGTTTTTTTTTAAGCAAGGTATTTTTCAGATGACGCAAAGACTGGATCTCTATGCAAAAAGTTTCACAGCAGCCGCAGATCCGAATTACAAACCCGATATTCATCGAGAGAAGTAGATAACTTCTGAGATTTGAACATAAATAAAGTTTTCTTCACTAGCCTACGACACCGTGCGTAGCAAAAGTCTGATCTTGAGCCTACAGAACAAGTGGAGACAATTCACTTAACTGCTGGTAAGGGAATATTATGTGCGTAAGCAGTTATGCACGGCCAGTGCATTGATGGCAGTTGTAATTTCAACAGTGCAGTTTTAAATGGATGAATTACCTGATATCATAGATGACTTTTTAAAATGTTTGTGAATATTTTCGTGTTCGCAACGTAATTCGTGTGATGTTGAGAATTTGCATAATTTTCAAACTTATCATTAAGTGAAGGTGGCGGCTGCATTCGAATATGTAGACTGTAAAACAGTTTACGACTGCACCATTAATAGGTAAGCTATTTCGGGGTGCGAAGACACACCCTCGATAGGCATTGTAAGAGCCGCAGAGGTCGCGAGACAATACCCTTCCTTTATCCGGCGAGCTGGAGCCGAGAGAAGGCATAGGTAGAAAAGGTGTGCTGGATGTGTAAATTCGAAATGAAATCCGGGGACCGATTTCCATATTGCTGACTGGCTTTTTGAAAAAAGGGTTAAGCTGTGTAAGTTTCCGGAGATCTACTTTAGTCTCTTGCGCTTTGCGGTGAAATTGCGAATCTATATAAAGTGCGAGGTTCTAGGCAAGTTACAATTTTCACAGTTAATGATTGTCCCGAAGAGTTTAGCATGAATACTTTTGAAGATGTGCATAGCTTCTCCATGAACAACGGAAAGCTTATTGAGAAAGCAAGAAAACTATGCCCTTTGTAAAAATATGCCACGTACCGGGTTTCAAACGATAATTCTCTCAATCTCAATTAGAGGGAGACAAAGGTTCTAGGCTAACATAGAAGAGAAGACGAAAAACAACAACGATTGGTTCGTTTCGCCTCTTAATCATACGAAACCAAGTCAGTCATCACCCGAGGCATCTTCAGTGATTAAGTGATGACTAATAAAATGGTGTTGATATCAAGCTAACAATTTGCCAGCCATGAAGGAACAAATTTTACGGAAAATAGGCATGTGATCTACTGAGAGCAGGGATCAATTCATACTCGTTATCTTTCATTTTGCACAGATCCGTACGAGAGAAGGTATAATGTTGGTTCGTTTCGATTTGAATCATGCGAACTAATCTAAGTCGTCATACGTGGCTCTTGGTGATTGAGTGACAACTGCATAATATGTTGAAGCTGCCAAAAGTAATGGTAAAAATTGAAAACAATGAAAATGGAGACGTTATAAGTCAAATACTAATTTACGAATACAATGAATACCACCAAGCTACTTATGGAGAACTTTAACAAATGGGTAGACAAGTGAAACTAATTTCCCGCCGAAACTACTTTAAAGGACTTCTCAGTGAAGTGAATTGGGTCAGCAAAATGTGGCTAGAGCACTAGAGTGCTCAATTATGTCCGCTGTCAATTTTGCATAAGAGACGCAGGGTGGAGGAAGCATCCAGGCACAGCTGAGCCCTCAGTATTTCTTCCATTTCAAATACATGGCCAAGAAGAAGGTGGGGTTTTGAAGTGTCTCACTCTTTTGTCGTTGGAAAAGAATATATGATGGTTTTAGGTCCGAACCTCGCCATCACCAAGCATTTCACACTCTAAACACTCAAAAAGGTATGTGAACCTATTTAATAAAGTCGCCTTTTTTGAGGTAAAACATGGAAGTAGCTAGCAACATAGTAAACTGATGTTTTTCGGGAATGTTGGTATTTAAAACTAAGAAGGACCCGAGTTCAAGCAGTCCGTAGACCCCTTTCAGTATGCCTGTGTCCCCTTTCCAACCCACCGTTCATTGTCCAAAAAATTCTCTAGTAATTTTTGGCCTTGTATTCGGTCATTTCTCGGCCAAAATCTTTAAGATACTGGGGATCGAAAGGGGTTTCGATGTCACTTTGTTTGATGTCTACGACTGGTGGTACAAAAATAGACGGCAATCGATGCAGCCCGGCAGTATGTACCCTATGTTAATTGACGTATTGGGTTCAGTGGTTGAAACGAGGGTGAATTAGATAACTCGAACTGTTTTACTTTCAGGTCGCGATCACGATCTCCCCTTCCTAGTAGTGTAGATCCTTTCGGTGAGTTGTGTTGCCAAAAAACTTTCGTGTGATCTGTTTCTTTTTTAACTCGGCCATTAACTTCTTCGCACTGCCGACCTTGACTGGAAGGTCTTGTGAATGAAATCCGATTAATGCGCACTTATTCACCATATTTTCAAAATGTCTGTTTCAGTGGCCGTTTTATGAAGCTTTTATGTATCTGTCTTGCATTATATTTCGCATTCTTCAACTCCCTGTTTCTTCTTGCAGTCCCTCTCTCCTCATTAATATCGGATCATGAAAAGCTGACATCGGCTGCTGTCCATTTTGTTGGTTGGAAAACCGTCGAATCAATGCTCCCTCCATGCTTGCAGGTAATCTATCCCCCAGTGCTTTTTTATTTCTCTCTTTCCAATTGAGTCGTGTTCTTGGAATCATCTATGACCATTGGTTCAGGGCCGTTCTCGCGAAGACGTTATCCAGCTTGTTTCCGATGAACTTGATGGTATGTCAAGAAGGCGTATTTCCTGCATTTTGGAAGGTATGATATAATGCCGCCAGTAGCACGTTGTTCTGGATCGAATTCAACAATTTTATTTCGTTTTGATTTGAATAGTTATAGACACAATATTTGATAACTTTCATGTTCTGAGTCTGTTGCGTTTCTTTTTTTCTTTACAAGAGAGGAATTTCTTAGTTATATAAGTTTTTTTTTTGCGATATTAACAGAACAGGGTAGTCATTTCGCTGCTTTTAATGCGTTTGTTGAAAGCTTACTGTGTATACAGGACCCCTCCCCTCTTGGGCTTGGGAGAATTATCGTCGACTATTGGTAAAATGCCTTCCAATCAGCCTTTTCCGAAGAAACATTGCGTGCTTTTGGACTCATTTCAAGTACCTTTTTATTCGTAATGAAAAGATGTTGAGAAGATGACAGAAAGACATTCGTTTTCCAAGTTGGCCGGTGAGCGATGGGCATCGGCGGTGCTGTCATTTGACATATCAATTGAAAGTTAACCCAATCCTGAAAGCATGCCGTTCCACCTTGCTATTTTACTTTCACAAGTTATACAAATTATCGTTTTTACATCAACTGGGATGTCTAATTTCTCTAATTTCTCTGGAAAAGCGATGATATAGAAGTCGAGCCGCTACCACTTTCTAAAGAAAAGGAATTTGTTCTATACCCGGTCTCTTGATGCTATAGCTACCTATAACACAGCTGAAAGTGTTGCGTTGCTAGTGGATTATTAACTGTACTACTTACATATATTTATATCTTTTTTTATTTCGAAACTGAACTCAATGTAGGTCTTAGAGAATGTTTCGATATAAGGGTAAAATATCGTAGAGTGTGGAAATGTTATTCAGGAAATGCAGTACCGAGCAGTTCATCATCAGAAGTGTCTGAGGGAAATGATCAAAGCGATAATAACAGCGAACAAGAGCACGAGCGGGATTCTGATGGTTAGAACTTTCCAATTAAACTTCTACCAGTCTTTCTCGCATTCGATCAAGCTTTACCTTAATTATAGCGGAACATTTCGTCAAGAAAATATTCTATACAATAGCTGGTAACCTCTCAGCGCTATTTATTCTCTAAGTAGTCCTAAGAATTGGTGAATTGACAGTAACTGAAGAGTCAAGGGTGGCGGTAGACCCCTGAGCTTTCAAGAGACATTCTCAAGCCCCCTTTATAAGGGAGCCGTTCACTTTTAGCAATTTCGAGGGGGAAGAAGTGGTGAGGCGGTACTTGTGCATTGGTATAGTATTCTGTGCCGATTACGTAGTTTCTTCGTCCTGCTGGTTTGCTTTTTGAGTTAAAAACATTCGCTTTAGGAAATTATTCAGCCTATCCGATGTTAGGTTTGAGGGGGTTCGGAAGGAAAACCCTTTCTTGCTTGCTTCACCCCATAATGACTCAACTAATAGCTGGCTGTAATGTCATGTTTCAATTTCGCTTGTTTCCTGTCGCTGTCGTGCTATTACTGCTCTCTCATTTAGCTTTATGTTAAGGAGTATCAGATACTTCATCCGACGTTCCTATGAGAAACACATCTCCGTCTATATCAGACACAGAGGTTAGAATTTAACTATAGATTCATACACGCATGTTCTTCCGACAACTCGGATTTCCATGTCTGTTTGAACGGTGCCACGTGAAGTGAATGAACGAAAATGGAGATGGTACTTCAAGGTTCACACAAGCGAGTCTGAGCAAGAGCAATATTCTGACATTGAACTCGTTGAGGGCCTTGATGAGGATGCCACCAATCTGCCGGATGTTGACTAGGAATGATTGGTTCTTTCAGTTCACCCATTGTGCTCCAAGCTTATAACAGTGAAATCCTTTTTCACGTCTTATAGCTTAAAGGGACGTTTCCTTTCTTGGAATGCCCCAAAGAGACATGTGCCACTGCCACGAAGAGCTCTTGTTGACATTGTTCAAATTTGAGAATGTAGATCATCCATGTCCAAATTTATTTTGTGCCGCCCATTTTTGTACGAGATAAAGCTAGCAAGTACAGTGTTCACTATTGTTATAGGTGGATCTCTTGAGTTTCTTCAAATAGTTCTGACAAGAAAATGCTCTTATTTTCGGAAATATTCATGCATCTGGATAAAAACCGTGTCTGCAACGCACTTTCGCCTTTATGATAGCGCTGCTGGTTGGTTTGTTCGGGTTCATTTCGATCCTATCCGGAACACTAGCACTTCAAATGATTGGGTTCTGAAAATCTTAACCTTGGTAAACAGCAAATGTGTCATCGAAGTGGGGTCTGTAGCAGTGCCAAAAAAGCCACCGGTGTCATCGATGTACCATGGTGTACGATGTATGGCTATTTATCGTTGCTAGGAGTATTAAAGATACAAAGATGAATTCTCAAGCGTCAATCAACCTTGGTTGAGGAATGCGC